TGCCAATGTGAGAGGATAGCTAACAGAGTCACTGTGCAGAGGCTTTCTGCTTCCCTCCAAAGCAAACGAGGAGAAGAATGAGATGCTCTGTTTTAGAAATCCATTTGTGCTCTGATGTGGGGGAAATGGGAGCAACTGTAGGCTTTGCCTTGCTGCTACAAAGGATGAGTCAAATCAGCTAGATCTTAAAAGATCAATTATGTCAAAGGGCAATGACGTTCTCTCCAAGTGTGGCTGTCAAAGTCTTTCTCTCTGCATAGCTGCTAAGGCCCTGTGCACACGTAGCCGGGTATCCCACAAAATGAAGATAGTTTTGGTCCATCATCCAAATGAAAGAGAAGATATAAAGACCCTGTCTAAAGTGAGTTAAATCCTCTCCCTGGGCTGCCACCTTACCGTGGTGGAGGGGTTTGAGTGTCTCAATGATCCTAGGAACTAAGTTGTCTGAGGCTTTATGCTTCTGGTAGGGTCACTCATGGCAAACAGGTCCTAGGTGAGGGATCAGACAAAGAGCAGCCCGAAGACCTCTTATGATGAATTATATAAATGGAAACCATGTTCCCTCGCCCAGACGTGGGTCACTGGTCCCCCCCTTTGGAGCCATGCCTGGAGGTGGGGAACGTTGGCGAGCTCCTGGTGGCCGGACTTTAACCCATGGAGCCCAGCTGAGCAAAGCCCGAAGACGAAACGTGGATCCCCTTCCCATGGGCTCACCACTCGTGGGAGGGGCCAAAGGGGTTGGGTGCAGTGTGTGATGGGTGGTAGTCAAGGGCGGCGACCTAGGCGGTCTGATCCTCGGCTACAGAAGCTGGCTCTTGGCACATGGAATGTCACCTCTCTGGTGGGGAAGGAGCCTGAGTTGGTGTGTGAGGTTGAGAGGTTCCGACTAGATATAGTCGGACTCACCTCAACGCATGGCTCTGGCTCTGGAACCAGTTTCCTTGAGAGTGGTTGGACTTTCTACCACTCTGGAGTTGCTCCCACTGAGAGGCGCCAAGCAGGGGTGGGCATACTAGTTGTCCCCCATCTTGGTGCCTGTACGTTGGGCTTTACCCCAGTGAATGAGAGGGTAGCCTCCCTCTGCTTACGTGTGGGGGGACGAGTTCTGACTGTGGTCTGTGCTTATGCACCAAACTACAGTTCAGACTACCCACCCTTTTTGGAGACCTTGGAGGGGGTGCTGGAAAGCGCTCCTTCCAGTGACTCCCTCGTTCTGCTGGGGGACTTTAAAGCTCACGTGGGCAACGGCAGTGAGACCTGGGGAGGTGTGGTTGGGAGGAACCCTGATCTGAATTCGAGTGGTGTTTTGTTATTGGACTTCTGTGGCAGTCATGGATTGTCCATAATGAACACCATGCTCAGACATAAAGGTGTCCATATGTGCTCTTGGCACCAGGATACCTTAGGCTGCAGCTTGATAATCGACTTTGTTGATTTTTCGTCTGACCTGCGCCTGCATGTCTTGGACACTCAGGTGAAGAGAGGGGTGGAGCTGTCAACTGACCACTACCTGGTGGTGAGTTGGCTCAGATGGTGGGGGAGGATGCCGGTTAGACCAGGCAAGCCCAAACGTATTGCGAGGGTCTGCTGGGAACACCTGGCAGAGTCTCCTGTCAGAAGGAGCTTCAATTCCCACCTCCAAAAGAACTTCCAAAATGTTCCGGGGGAGGCGGGGGACATTGAGTCTGAACAGACCCTGTTCCGTGCCTCCATTGTTGAGGCGGCCGACCGGAGCTGTGTTGCCTGACGCGGCTCTGCGATATCGCGTGGACATCGGGGTCAGTCCCACTAGACTGGCAGACAGGGGTGGTGGTCCCCTTATTTAAAAAGGGGGACTGCAGGGTGTGTTCCATCTATAGGGGGATCACACTCCTGAGCCTTCCTGGTAAGGTCTATTCAAGGGTTCTGGAGAGGAGGGTCCGTTGGATTGTTGAACCGCCGTGGAATACTGGACCGGGTCTATCCCCTTAGGGGGATCCTGGAGGGTGCATGGGAATTTGCCCATCCAGTCTACATGTGTTTTGTGGATTTGGAGAAGGCGTTTGACCACGTCCCTCAGGGGGCCCTGTGGGGGGTACTCCGGGAGTATGGGGTACCAGGCCCTCTGATAAGGGCTGTTAGGTTCCTGTATGACCAGTGTCAGAGCTTGGTCCGCATTGCCAGCAGTAAGTCGGGCTCATTCCCAGTGAGGGTTGGACTCCGCCAAGGCTGCCCTTTGTCACCGATTCTGTTCATAACCTTTATGGACAGGATTTCTAGGCATGGCCAAGGTGTGGAGGGCATCCGTTGTGGTTGCCTGAGGATCAGGTCTCTGCTTTTTGCAGATGGTGTGGTCCTGTTGGCTTCATCAGAATGTGATCTTCAGCTTTCGCTGGAGCGGTTCGCAGCCGGGTGTGAAGCAGCTGGGATGAGAATCAGCTCCTCTAAATCTGAGACCATGGTCTTGATTCGGAAAAGGGTAGAATGCTTTCTCCGTGTCAGGGATGAGGTCCTGCCCCAAGTGGAGGAGTTTAAGTATCTCGGGGTCTTGTTCACGAGTGAGGATAAACTGGAGCGTGAGATCGATAGGCGGATTGGTGCTGCACCTGCAGTGATGTGGGCATTGTACCGGTCTGTCGTGGTGAAGAGAGAGCTGAGTCAGAAGGCGAAGTTCTCGATTTACCGGTCGATCTACGTTCCTACCCTCACCTATGGTCATGAGCTTTGGGTAGTGACCGAAAGAACGAGATCACGGATACAAGCGGCCAAAATGAGTTTTCTCCGAAGAGTGGCTGGGCTCTCCCATAGAGATAGGGTGAGAAGCTCAGTCATTCGGGAGGGGCTCGGAGTAGACCCGCTGCTCCTCCACATCAAGAGGAGCCAGTTGAGGTGGCTTGGGCATCTGGTCAGGATGCCTTTTGGAAGCCTCCCTGGTGAGGTGTTTTATATATATATACCGTAAATCCTCTAATATTAGCCTGTATTTAATTAACGGCCGGGTATCATATTTTGGCCAATGTCGGAGTCGGCGGAAGTGAATAATGGCCGTTTTTTTATTGTGGCTGGGTGGAATGTGGTAACAAGCAAGTACGGGGGGCGGTTGTGTCATCCGTCTCACTTTTGATTTTTCAGTGACAGACCGCGAGGGTAACTTTAACCGTGCGGAGACGAAGAGGAGGCGAAAATTTGATATCAAGTTCAAAGAGAATGTGTTGCTTATGCTGCAGAACACTCTGGAGAGCAGTAGCAGGGGTTGTATGAACTAGTCACTAGTCGACTTCACCGCTCTATAGTGACTTTTTATGCCTGTCATCGACGAGTCGCTGTCACGTGATAATGACCGGCAAGATGCAGTCCACGGAAAAGACAGCAGCCTGCTTTCAGCAGGTGACAAGCTCATGCGCGTCGGGAGGCAACGCGCTGTGCCAGAACGTCGGTACTGACACCCGCCGTAAAACGGACATTTAACCATATTGTGACGTTTACCCTCTTGCAATTTAACCTTCCCCTCACCCCCACCCTAACCTTAACCAGCTTGCGCATGCAAAGCTCTGATTGATGACGCGCTCCAGACATCTGTGTCCTGAGCACGGCCACAGTAACATTATCAAATCAGGTATCGCCACCTCAAAAACTAATTCAACACGCGATCGTTCATGTCGGCTCATTTCCTTTTATGTTTTCTGTCTTTTATTTCTTTTATTTGTGCCTGATGCTTTTCGCTGCTGTGGATCGGGGCGCATCACCTGTTTTGTCCTCGGTGACGCACCTAACTTATGTGGCCGACGAGCAGCGGCACTCCGCTGTTTTTGCGGTCGGTAGATCTTTTAGAACTGCAGTTCAGAGGTAACTCATAAGGTGAACATATATGAACCCAGGAAGCAGTTTTTCTTTAGGATTGAGAGTAGATGCAGGAAGATAATAAACAGAGACAGGACAGAAAAATAGTCAAATAAAAACAAGTTAGTTTTTGTACCTGGTGGTTGCAACAAACAGACACCATTGAAGGTAATCAGAAGTGAGGAACAGAAAATGAAATAATTATTTTAATGTTTAGAGCAGCAGGAACTCCGAGAGGCTGCAGGTGCATCAGTGAGTTTGCGGCCACTGCGCAGGGGGAGGGGGGAGAGGGCTGAAGCAGAAACTACCGTTGTTAAAAGAAATGTGTTTAACTTTGAAAATGTGGGCGCAATTTTAATTGTCAAAAACTCCAGCGAACCGTTAGTTCATTTTGCTCAAATAGAAATTGAGGCCTGCCTCTAATTCTGGTCCTCCTTCCAGGAAAGGCCTGGAGATTGATGAGCTTGAGTCAAATACAGGCCCGGGCCTGTATTAGAGGATTTACGGTATATATATATGAGAAAAAAAGAACAATGAACTAGTTCGTTTTTGGAACGGTGAACTTAGTTCTACTTTTTTTTTAATTATGAACTAAGAAACGAACTAGATCGTTTTAAAATGTATGAACTGAACTTTGAACTAGTTCGTTTTTTAAACTAACTTTCCCAACAACTAACAGCTAACAACTGTGCCACAATGCACCTGATAATATTCCTCCAGCATTACGTGAAGTGTGGTTGTTTGTCATCTTGCTGTTATAAATCTGAACGACTCATTAAAGGAGGTAAAAAGGTTTAACATGATTAAGACATTAGGCTTTTTTTGTGATGATTTCATCGTACAATTCTTGGACGACCACAGGCGAAAGACAACATTAAGGATGGTTATTGCCTGCCACCTAGTTATCCCATGTCCAATGAGGGTGAAAGACACAGAAGTTTTGGGGAACTACTGCCACCAACAGGCTGGACATGACTATGAATGTGCTTCACATTGCAATGAATTTTTTTCACTTTCAAACAAGGAGGTGCTGACCAGTTTTTTTTTTCCTCGATGGTCGGGGGAGGATATTTTGTTTTACAAAAACCTACTTACGTGTGTACATGACCAACACTGCCTTATATTTATCATCTGAGTTCAAACGTGCGCTTTTGTAAATACATGTAAATGTAATAACTCACCAGAGTATTGCGTGGTTTTGGACGTTCCTCACCGAGTTCACTTCAAAGCAGCCTGCAGAGAAAAATAAGGGATCACACTTAATGTGCAAGCAAAAATAACAGAGGAGGCCACACAGCAGCAGCTGCAATAGCGTCAGAATCAAAAAGGTTCAATTTAGAATTAAATTCTTTATTCTTTCCCAACTTAATACCAGTGATTTGGTGTCTCTGCAGAGGTGGAACAATCATTTTCTGCCCTGACGAAATGAAATTCTCAAGCAGAAATATTGTTTTCCCTGCTTCTTTGTACAATGATGATTTTCTGCTTTGTATGCATAACTAATGTTTATTTTTTTCCTCCATTAAGCAGGATAATTAACCCCAAATCACACAGTGAATGCTTCATTTAGACAGAGGTGAATTTTTCTTCAAATATAACATTTTCCATCACAGATAATAGAAGCAGTGGACAAATTCAATGAATAACGCTGAACACTGTTTACGTGTGCTTTTGGGAGTTCTGCATGCTTCCAATGGCTTGTACAATGCAAAAGGTCAAGCTGCACAATTAACTGGTTTTAGATGATTATGGTCCACAAAATTACAAAAAAAAAAAAAAAACAATTACGTAGGTTCAACGGAACCGGATAAAACAGCAGCCACCACCCGACCTTCGGTGGTGGAGTTTTTATGGGTGGTACCCAGAAAACCCATCATGGCTCATTCAATTGAATGTGACACTCTTTTCATTATTAGCTACCTAATTAAATGATTAAATAATAGCTACTGACAGCTGCCCTGGCTCTGCCAGTCTGTTGAATTTGTGAAAAAGCCCGAATGTACGCCGCAGGTAAAAAAAAAAAAAGTAAAAAAAGTATGAGGATGAGTGTGTTGCAGTTTGCTGTGTACAGCTAGAACCTCTCACCTTTGCTTCAAAGTAATCCAAGCATGATGCTAAAGAAGCCTGCCTGCGTCTACAGGACTCTGTATGTGTGGGTGATTAATTGAGCGTTTGTGTAGAAAGCAGAGTCGTGCGTTTGGGAGCGTTTCTGCTCTGCCCTCCCTGATCTGACAGGATAAGTGACAGAGGTGTGCAAAGAGACAAATGACATGCTTCAACTCTGCATTGCCTCGTTTCCACAGGAGCTCTCTACTGTATGCGCACACACTGTTTATTTTTCTTTTCTAGTTTTGCACGCAGAGAAAATGAGTGCAGATTTTACACAATAAAAAAGTGTTCTTTCCCACAAACAGTGCGTTCCCAACTTCAAAAAGAAGTAGATGAAAGCCATATTTTCCTTCCAGCACAAATAAACACCAGTTTTGTCCGAATATATTATCCAATTAAACTAAAGTATGAGGATCTTGTTAAAGAGTGCTAAATATGCACGTGAAGGCTGTGCTAATTACATAAGACTCAGATGCCATTATACAGAAACACGTAGCATCTACATACATGCAGACGGCATTGTCCTCCCAGTGAAGCCGTTTTTTTTTTGTAGAGTTGTAAAAAGTTTATTTGAAGAAAAATAGCTACTTAGCTTGTCTTCTTGTACATTTTGCAAACGAATTTCAGTTTAAATAGTTTTATTCTGATTAGAGACTTTTGGGGTGAGTGTTGACAGCATACTGACATTCAGCCCAAACAGAGTATCAGAGGCAACAATTATTACAAATGATCTGCATTTTAGTGTCATATTTATTCAGCATTTTGATGTTCATATTGTATGAAGGATTATTATATGTTTTTCTGAAAAAAGAAACTTTATCATAATAATTTACAGATTTAATTAAATTCTGTTTATTTATTCAGCGCCAAATCAGAGCAATAGTCGTCTCACCTCACAAAGCAAACATTTCAATTCAGTTTAGTTCTTTATGCCAATTAGTTAAAGGTTTCCTGTTTACCAAAGAGGATCCTGGCTCAGTATAAGCAGCCATCCCCCACGACTTTGAGTTAGGTTAAAGTCGCATTAGTTGTGTGATATTTGTTCTCCACACTTCACCCATCCCCTGTGGGAGTGGTGAGCGGCAGACACAGCCGTGTTCGGGAACTATTTGGTGGTTTAACTCTCCCAATCAAACCCCATAGTGCTGGGGGGTACTCCGGGCCAGAAGAACACACGAGCAACTTTCCTCAACAGTAGTAGATAACCGCTAACATTTTATCCAGCTTTTAGATCAAAAACTCCATTCTGCATTGTGTAAAAGTTGAACCAGAAATAATTTAAAGGGATACTTTGCAACTTTTTCCACATTTTTTAATAGGGCTGCTCAATTAATCGAATTTTAATCACAATTACGATCTGAGTTTTGAACGGTTATACAAACAAAACAAGCCGATTGTTTGCTCCTCCCACTTGCGCTGCCCTGAGTTGCAAATGAAGCGCTCCTCCCACAGTGTTGCCAACTTGGCGACTTTGACGCTATTTCCAGCAGCTTTTCAGACCTCCTTCTTGACTTTTTAAATCTTAAAAGTACCTAGCGATCACCTCAGAAACATCTCTGGTAACCCTTAGCTACTTTCTGGATAACTGTCGTCGACATTTCCTGCAGGTTAGCTAAACACTCCGCCTGCGCTCCGGACCGTTCTTCAGGACATTAGGAAAGGGAATGATGCAGTGATGTGTCAGTCGCTAAAAAAACAGCTCTCGGAGCCGGCTCCCTGTTGGAGTAACCAGAGTGAGTGACACACACACCGCACCTGCGGACTTCTGAGCCACTAAAAATGGCTAAATGTGCGCGTGCGGCGTGCTAAACACACATGCAGCTTGCCACTGATTGCTGAGACCTGGTTGGGGGGTGGGGGTGCAGCTGCGGTTGGGACAATTATTACATTAACTGATGGACTTGTAAATAAATAGTTTATAAATAAGGTAGAAATAAGTTCCTCACGCTGATAAATAATAACTAACCTCTCTGAGGACACGGTGCTAGTGCACGCTCCTACAGCACCTTGACACGACTAAATAAATGTTATGCAACATTTTGTGAACATCAATTTATTTGCATTTATTTGTTATAAATGCCACTGTATAATTCTTGCTGTCAGTATTTGCAAGATATTGGTATTTGGGTCTGTACTGGTTAGACTTAAATGAGTTAAACCAAGGTCTATAACCCTTGGGTCATAGACTATGAGCTATAAGTACATTGGTCTTTTTATACTGGGAATCAGGAGTTATTTTAGTGATCATCTTGTTTCTCATTTCTTTTTGTCCTGATTGTGCCCTGAGCAATTTTATGACAGAATAAAAACAAATAAAATCAACATAAATTGAAAAATCGTCCTAAATAATCGAGATCTCAATTTAAGTCATAATAATCGTGATTATTGTTTTTGCCATAATCGAGCAGCCCTATTTTAAAATCATTTTCTTGAACTAGAATGTGCTAAAACCACCCTTTACAGGGTAAATGAAACGTCACTCAGACCCTCACCGCCTTCTGTGGCCAGACCGTCACACAACTTCAGACTGGAGGTCCGCCACCTGTTTAACTAAGAAAAACTTGACCTGACATGTCTGGTGCCAGAGTCTGGTTCCAGCATGTTTTAGATCACGAAAGCAGCCGATTTGTTTGATTTAGTGATGAATCACTCCTGTAGAAACTAATGAAGGCTGAGGAGACATTTCAGCTGTCGGATTAAGGTGTTAAAAAGATGAAAGCTCAGCGAGGAAAAGAGTTTTGATTTTGGTTCTACTAAACAGACACTAGGGGGTGCTAAAAGCAAGCCAAAACCCCCAAGTGTGCCTTTAATTTAAATGTTTTAACTGATTTTTATACCTGTGACAAATACACAAATTACTTTTAACAGTAGTTCTGGTAAAAATGTGCATTATTGTTGACTATTAAAGTTATTAACCAAGACTTCCTTTAATTTAAATGAGGAACATTATTAATAAAACAGAAAATCTGAATTCAGTACTTTTTAAAATTTGCTTTGCTGTCTTTTGTTTGTTTCTTTTTGATTGGCTGGCTATTTGACGATCTTAGTAAAAAAGCACAAATACAAAATTTGGCCTCAGTCTCTTTTGCAATATTTTAAAAATGCAGACAAAAGATAACGCCACACCGATTGGTCGTAAACAGTTTTCAAAGGGCAACCGATTCCTACTTAAACTTCAGCAGGGACGTTTGTCGGCTAAATCTCTTCCAGGTTTTTTGTCATTCCTAAACAACTCGAGGTAAACCCTGATAAATCACAATTTATTGAAGCTTTTAGCACTAAAGAAAAGAAGACTGTGTTCTACTTCTTTATCTTCAGGAATAATGACACCTGAAGAATAGCTCCGATTCCCCCGCCGCCAAATTTAATTGCCAAAACAGCAATCTTGATTAGAATCTCAATGGTCCCTTTTATCAGCTCCTGCCATAGGACTGCAGCGTGTTTGTCCAAGCAAGAAATATTTACCAACCTCTTTTCTAAGTGCAAACAAGGTAAGCTTCTACAAAAGACCCCCGACATTGAGAGCATCCTTCAGAGTTTGTTCAGTGGTCATCGATCAAAAGGAACACACCTCCTCATTGTCTTCAGTGTTTGAACCTCACCTCCTTCCTGCAACAGCTGCCTTATCATGAACCACAGGCAACACCCAGCATCTTCTAAACAAATCTAATAATGCTTAAACCCTTTATTTTCCTTCAAAACATACAGCAGCAAGCCCCGTGGCTGACCTTAAACGGTGATGTGAGAAGCACAATTTCATGGATGCCGCACATCACCAAGACGTCCATCCTGCCTTTGCGTCCCCTGAAGCACTCGACACTGAGGAATTGATTAATACACACTGCACACACTCTGGAACTGCAAATAGCACAGGAGCTATTCGTGTTGCTTTAGCTGTCGTTGCACATATTGTGACTGCACTCTAACTACCCATCAAGCTCCCACGCAGACGCATCAAACACATGCTCTGCATGCACAAACACTTAAAAAGAGGGAGAAGACGCAGTTTGTGGGAGGACTTCTACGCCACATTTGGATAACTACTATTTTTCAAATTTAAAAACACTGTCGTAGGATGTGAGACTTGCTCAGAGGAGAATGGAGATTGCGCACACACGCACACA